TGCAGCTGCTTCCCACTAGCTGTTTTACATTTGGTAGTGTATACATGTCCATGCCATTCTCTCACTTCATCCCAGTTTACCCTTCCCCCTCCCTGTGTTCTCAAGTACATTCTCTACATCTGTGTCTTTATTCTTGTCCTGGCCCTAGGTTCTTCAGAACTGTTTTTTTTTTTTGTTTTAGATTCAATATATATGTGTTAGCATACGGTATTTGTTTTTCTCTTTCTGACTTACTTCACTCTGTATGACAGTCTCTAGGTCCATCCACCTCACTACAAATAACTCATTTTCGTTTCCTTTTATGGCTGAGTAATATTCCATTGTATATATGTGCCACATCTTTTTTATCCGTTGATGGACACTTAGGTTGCTTCCATGTCCTGACTATTGTAAACAGAGCTGCAATGAACACTGTGGTACATGACTCTTTGAATTATGGTTTTCTCAGGGTATATGCCCAGTAGTGGGATTGCTTGGTCATATGGTAGTTCTTTTTTTAGTTTTTAAAGGAACCTCCATACTGTTCTCCATAGTGGCTATATCAATTTACATTCCCACCAACAGTGCAAGAGGGTTCCCTTTTCTCCACACCCTCTCCAGCATTTATTGTTTGTAGATATTTTGATGACGGCCATTCTGACCCCTGTGAGGTGATACCTCACTGTAGTTTTGATTTGCATTTCTCTAACGATTAGTGATGTTGAGCATCCTTTCATGTGTTTGTTGGCAATCTGTATAATTTCTTTGGAGAAATGTCTATTTAGGTCTTCTGCCCATTTTTGGATTGGGTTGTTTGTTTTTTGATATTGAGCTGCATGGGCTCCTTGTAAATTTTGGAGATTAATCCTTTGTCAGTTGCTTCATTTGCAAATATTTTAACCCTCAGAATGGGAGAAAATATTTGCAAATGAAGCAACTGACAAAGGATTAATCTACCACATTTGCTTTATCCATTCATCTGCCAATGGACATTTACGTTGATACCACCTCTTGCCTGTTGTGAATAATGCTTCTATGATTAAATTAATGAATGTACAGCTATCTCTTCAAGACTCTGCTTTCAATTCTGTTGGATATATCCAGAAGAGGTTGTGCTATATCATATAGTAATTCTAATTTTTAATTTTTTAAGGAGTAATGTTGCTTTTTAATTGAGGTTTAGAGAGGTCAGTCCTCTCCAATGACTCTAAAACTGATAGCTTTTCATGGTTACTGCACTACTGTGAAGGACAGGGGATGGGTATAGCCCCATGTTAAAATGTCACTGACACTGTTTTCTTACTGAGGTAATTTTTCTGGATAGATGATTTGGATAGATGATTTTTTTCAGTACATTCTGTGGCTTTGCTACATTTCCAGAGTTCTGTAGTAGCTGTAAGTTGTTTTGCTGGTATTTTCATTATTTTTGTGGGAGAGTGAGTTTGTCAAGATCCTCATTCCACCATTCCAGAAGTTGATCTCCTATATTGTTTTAATTATTTTTAACTTTGCTGTATGTTTTTAACATCTGTAAAGGTGAGATTCCTTCATTAGTTATTATATTTGAATCAGTTAAACCTATACCTTAATTTGTAAAGAACTGACATCTTCACATTTATTTTTCTCATCCTATATAACACAGTATCTATTTAAAGCTTTTATCCTCAAACTTCTCAGCCTCTATGTCATTTACATATGTACACAATTCCATCAGTAGTAGCTCTCATTATGTAGAAATTCTTGGGAGTAGATGTTCACACTCTTCCCTCCACTTGAAAATCACTGCTTAAAGATCATTCAGAGAGGGGCTTCCCTGGTGGCGCAGTGGTTGAGAGTCCGCCTGCCGATGCAGGGCACACGGGTTCGTGCCCCGGTCCGGAAAGATCCCACATGCCACGGAGCGGGTAGGCCTGTGAACCATGGCCGCTGAGCCTGAGCGTCCGGAGCCTGTGCTCCGCAACGGGTGAGGTCACAACAGTGAGAGGTCTGTGTACCGCAAAAAATCAAAATAAAAAAAATCAGGACTTGCATTCTTTTTTTTTTTTGATTTTATTTTATTTACTTTATATACAGCAGGTTCTTATTAGTTATCTATTTTATAGATATTAGTGTATATATGTCAATCCTAATCTCCCAATTCATCCCATCACCACCACCGTCTTCCCCCAACCTCACTTTCCCCCCTTGATGTCCATACGTTTGTTCTCTACACCTGTGTCTCTATTTCTGCCTTGCAAACAGGTTCATCTGTACCATTTTTCTAGATTCCACACATATGCGTTAATATACGATATTTGTTTTTCTCTTTCTGAAGGACTTGCATTCTTAAACATTTATTTATATACTCATTAAGAAATATTTGAAATAATTAGTTTGAAATTATGGAGCTAGTATGCAAGCTTAAGATTAAAATAGAAAAACTGAATCAGGCAATTATTTAAAATAATTACTAAAACATTTAAGTGATCAATTATAATATAGTTGCTTAATCATTTAACTAAAGATTACTAAGACTGTGTGAATGGTTTCTCAGGTGTATTAAGGTATCTTCTAAACAGTCTAAAAGTTTACAAAGACAAATTCTAAGGATAACACCAAAATTTCTGAAGCTTTAATGAAATATGAGTAAAGGATGAATTAAAAAGAGCTTTTTAAAATCATTTATTTAGAACTAACTTTTTCTTTCCTTAACACAAACCAAACTGGGAGATGTGAAAGAAAGCAGGTTTTTACCAGTTCCCTACGGATCATTACTCTTGTTGCTCTTTGAATGCAACTCGAGATTTTTGGTTCATCCTTCATTCTGCTTTAGAGATATTGCCATGGCGGTGATACAGTGATCCCAGCGTATGCTTAGTTCTTAGGAAGAAGTGCTATCTTAACTGAGGAGGATTTGTATGTTTTCGATTGACACAATGTTCTAATAGTTGCCAAATAGGATGCAAGTGTTTGCTATAATATTTTGGAGTTTTTTCCCTCCAGATTTTCTTACTCACCACTGAATTACTCTTGGTTTTCTAATGCTGTCCAGTGAAATAAAGGTTTCAAGCTATATACATGTAGGTCTATAATCAAACCATATATGTGAACTGCAAAAACATTCCTACCACCTTTTCTATTGACATAAGAGTGTTATACCACCTAAAACAGACAAGATATTCTTATGGTGTAATGTGATTTTTTTTATTGATGCAGTCATTTAAAGAGTACTAGTATTCAAGTACTAATTTAGTATAAATAGGAGCAAAAAAATAGAGAGGGTTATAAATAGGCATAAATGAGAGAAATAAGGCAACAAGAAAAAACAGATTTACAGAAAATGTTTAAAAACTAATATTATTCAGTGGGTGTTTTAAAGATAAAAGGAAAAAGGGAGATGTTAAGAATTGTAAATCAGAGAAAATGTAGTTTGTTTATCCTGCATGGTAATAAAAATATAAAAAAATATATCTTCTACAAGCTATTAAGGTACATATGATGCATCTAGGTTAAAAATATCAACATCTCTAGAGAACACCTCATTTTCCTCAATAAGATGCCAACAATAGCTATAAAAACCACCCTCAGTAAAGCCAGAAACAGCAGAACTAATCTTTCATTTGCATGTAGTACCTTTACACAGTCATTTCAGATTTTAGATCTCCAAATATCTTCAATGCTTAAAAAGAATCATTATATTAAAACAAGCAAAAAAAATCTGAATTTTGTTGTGCTACTATTAGGTAAGATTAAACAAGAGAATAAAAAGTGAGTTATGTCTCAGCAACACAGGTGATGGTTATGTTCGGTTAACATATGATAAATGATATAATTTCCTAACTTATTAATAAAGTGTGTGATATGGATGGATATGATATAGGCATAACTATAAAAGAGAAAGCCATATTTGAAAGCTAATCCCCAGTGGTCCCAACCAAAATAAGGTTATGCTTACCCTCCTGTCTAAATTTCTTATCAGGCAAGACAATGGAACAAAACCTTGTTACAAAATCTTTATTACATTTCCAGTTGGGAAGAGTAAATTAAAAGAAATAAAATATATAACCCTGCCAGAACTTTTCAATGTTCCCATACTGCCAATTTTACCTTCCTTGGAAGAAAGACTAGCTCTATTTTTTTCCCACAGAGAAGTATTAATTGTAAGGCATAATTCACCAGCCCACCAAGGAATAGTACTTAACTATGGTCTTCCTGTGAGCATTCAATTAACTGTATGCTTATAAATGGCATTTCCTCTGAATGTGTATTGAAACTCACCTTATAAAATCCGCAGCAGTAGAGCATTTCTTGTTGCTAAGGGACTATGATACCATTTCATGATGCTAAAACAGGAACATTATAGTTTGAATTGTTCATATACCTAGCTATCATCAGACAACTTAAAAACTAAAATGGTAAATGTTCTGACCTCTAATTTTGCTAATGCTGGGATAATGAAAGATCCTGTTCTTTTTAATAACTAAAGACTTCTAAAGCAATATTAATAACAATAATAATGTACCATTATTATCATTATGATTATTGTTGCATGAGCTCTTGCATCATCATTCCAGGCACCATTCTAAGTGGTTTATAGGAATTAACTCATTTAATCCTTAAAACAACCGTATTGATTAGGTATTATTATTTCCCCAGTTTTGCACAAAAATAAACTAAAGCACAGAGAAGTTAAGCAACTGGCTCTAGGTCATGGAGCCAATAAAGAGGCAGAAGTAGAATTTGATATCCAACCAGTCTCACTCACTGCAGAGTTCACATTCTTACCTGACACACTATATTACACTAGGAAAATATTTTTAAAAATCGTACTACACTTGGTTACCTGGGATATTATTTTACTTTTTAAAGTGATGTTATTCATAGTTCTTTAAGAACATACTTAGTCTTATTCATAGAACATATTTGGTGAAAGTACTTCCATCCTCTGATGGAACTGTAAAGTCTATAACAAATTGCTTACATTACTATAACAACTTTGACTCTGCTTGGTTTAGGATGTGTACTGGCAGTGTACCTTGAATTGGAAATCCGATCCTTATCTTACAAGGCTGATCTTTGGCTCATGTCTTTGTCTCCAATGTATATTTCATCCTGATTAGGCTTAAATGAACAGATTAAAAAACACACAGAGATAAGACAATTACTTTAATAACGCAAATTTTTAAAGTAGAATTTCACCGCAATATGGAAGCACAACGTGTCTAATTTTTCTATGCTGCCATACTAAATGGCTTTTTAGTTTTAGCTTTAATACTTCTGCTTTAATGCCAGATACTAAAGTACTATACTAGGAATAGGTCATCTTTAATAGTATACATACTTTATATATTTTTCAATTAAAAGAGAGAATGGGCCTTATTAATTATATTTATCATCAGCATAGCAGTATAGTTATGCATAAGCAGCTCCATATTAAATTTCAAGGACAAAAATATATAAACTTACCCTTGATTCAGCAAGGTTTCTAGGGTCACTCATTTCAGCACCAATTAAAGGACACAGGAATAGAGACTGTTTGATACAATTTCTACACTGCAGGTAGATGGTTAAAGAACATTCTTCCATATTCCAGATGGCATTTAAAGATAAGCCTGTCTCCATGCCTACAGAAAATTTAAAAAGGCCTTTCATAAACCCTGAACTACCAGATTCAACATCTCAATTTCACTTATAAAAGTCTAATAGAAAGTGAACCGCATGTTAAGACTGGATAATGTTTTTGAAACCATTAGTTTAACGTATTTTTTTAAAAAAGGGAAAATTTTAACGTTAATAATCTTTAGTCTAACATAGACAAGTACAGAAAATAAGTTTACAAAAAGAGTCATTGCTTACACTTGCTAATGTCTATTGTGTAAATTCATTATTTAATTTTACTCTCATAGCAACTCTGAGGTAAGTATTATTGCCCTCATTTTATGGATAAAGAAACTGGGTTTCAGGGAGTATAAGTTAAAGTTAGAAAACAGTAGGCTGGGATTTAACATGTCCAAATCCAAAACTCATGCGCGATCCCTTCAGCTTAGTGCCCTCCTAAGAATCAAAATTGTTTTCAAGAGAAAAATGTAATTCTTTGCTTTCAAATAAAACCATGTATAATTGAGAGACCTATGAACAAATCTCTATAGTCTATTGTACAATAAGAATAATCTGTTTACATTAATTGTAAAACGGTACCTCTAAAAATTTTAACACCAGTTAGTTTTAAAACAGAAATTTGATTATCACATAAAAATATGAGAATGCAATCTTTCCCGTAATAGAAGCTATAATAGAAAATACATGAAGATTCATATTCTAAGAGAAGACTATTTTAAAAGAATATTACTTTAAATGCAAATAGTTCCTCAGCAATTAGAAAAAGCAAAGTAATTTTGCTCAAGCTTCTACACTGTAATATGTCTGTGGGAGTAGCATTGTTCCTTTTACAGTACATTCATAACAATAATAGGTATCACCATTATACATCTGCTTTCAGGACAAAAAGTTTCTCCATATTCTTTAGTTGAACTATCCACCAAACAAACCTCAAATATGCAAGGACAATATTTTATGTTGGACTGACTTTTTAATAAAGTGAGTAAAACTCCAAGTTTTTATGAAGTGAGAGCTCCAGGGGTTAAATGAGCATTCGCTATCTTTGGTAGGAATTAATGGTGCTATACAACAGGTGTTCAGTTATGGCGGAGAGAAGACAATAGATCAAGAGAGAACCTCTCCTATACACTCCACTCTCCCAATCTCTTTTGGGACTGAATTGCATTTGTGTCTGGAAGTCACTGAAAAAAGTGTAGTGGAAACTGAGAATGAGGAGACATTGCATGATGTAGCTAGGAAAAAAAATTAACAACATAGCCTTTCACTTCAAGCTTAAGGGTATACAGATGAAATGGGAAGGATTTGTGTAATGATAAGACTATGAATCTACGCAGAGTTGTAGTTCTCAAAAAAACTTCTTATAGTCTTCCATATTGCACTAAGCCCAAAAGTTCTTAACAACCTCATATTCATTTTTTTTTCATATTCATTTTTTGATAAATGAGTACATTCTCGCAAGAAAGAATTTCCAATTCCAGAAAAAAATATTGAAATTGGTCAAAGCTGCAAAATACTAAAGGGACATTATTAGAACCATATGATCTGAACATGTTTCTGCAGACATTTGTAACCTAAGTAAACATTCAGACTTGTCATGAATGGTCCACCTTTGAGGGGGTAGCAGCAGGGAAAATCCCAAGTTATAGTTTTAAGTGTTTTTTATGCTTAAGTATTGAATGAACGGACATTATCACAGAACTTATGACTCTCAGTTTTTAAATGGGTAGAAAAGAAAGTTTAGATGAATCCACTGATGTTGAAAATGGGTAAATAATAGGTGCTTGGTTATCTGAAGACAGGACTTTGGAATAAAAGTAATGTTTCTACCTGGCCATATTGCTTCTAGGAATGAGTGGAGTTTAGGATTATTTCTGAGTGAGTGCAGGGCCTGGGATAAATCATAATGTGTGGCCTAGTCCCTTCTCCCCAACATTAAAAACAGGTATTGGCAGAATAAAAATGAACATGATGAACAGGCTTGAAAGTGGCCAAGAAATTGTAAAAGGGCAGTAGACAACCTGAGACTTATTTATGCAAGAGAAAAAGGACTTGGGTTTATAGGTCATTTGTTTGTATATAATAAGCATACATCCCATTGTTTTTTAGGAGGAGCTGGTGGAACCCAGTACCTTTTATCCTATAGGTTGCTTCCATGAGTTACTGCCCATCCTTTACCCAGGTCAAGACTGTCAACACATGCATGAGATCTGGATTTGTAGCCCTTGGGAATATTTTTTGGGAGTCATTATCAGACACAGATAGATCAATGCCTCATCTGTCCCAATGTGACATTTCTTATTTATACATTTTTGTTTTGAACAGAGTTTGAGATTCTGTTTTATCTTTTCTTCCTTTGCAATTCTTGAGACAGTGGAACTTATTTTAAAAAGCGAATTAAAAATTGCTTTTCATTTTAGAAGTCACATGAAAATCAAAAAGGTGCCTTATTTACACCTGAAGACTTTAGAAAACAAGGAAGCTATGTAGTCATTAAGTTTACCTTCATTATTCACTGAAGTCTGATAAACCATTTATGTGGCTTTTAAATGGTTAAGGGCAGCAATGTCATTGGTGACATAAAATAAATTTTTTTCTTCTGATCTGTACTCAACTCAGTTAAGCAATGGCATAAGGATTTTGTACAATTTAACATTCAGGAAGATTCTTTGGAGTCTCATCAGCATGGTATTCTTAGAAAAAGCTTTCCACAAAAATTCCTAAGAAAAGAATAAGATGAAAAGTATTTAGGAAAGGCATAGCACACTAACAATGATATTAGTTTCCTAAAAGCAAACAAACAAACAAAAAACTACTGGATGCAGTAATTTATTAAGGTGTTTGTATATGTATGTCAATCAGAAGACAGCTCAATGGAGAATTATTGCACATAGTGGTAACAATAAAACAAGTATATTATCATTAAAATATATTATCAGCAATATGTACTGCTTCTCATAAAAAACTCTTTAGTTAGATGAAGTCCAAAGAATGAGATTGAGTGGCTTTATAACTGGTATCTTAATTTTTATATTCTTAGTTGTCTAAAATTGTACCTTTCTCTTAGAGTGCCTTGAGAAAGAGGCTAAGTTAATATGAACTAAACTATGTTAAAAACCGTGTGGCGTGTTGCTATCAATGACTTTTGTCTAGGTACTAAATCACTCTGGGCCTCAGTTACCTCATGTTTAATATAAGGGAAGTAGATGACTTCTAAAGTTCTGGCCTACTCTAGAATATTAAAACAGTAATAAAAGTATAGTAAACAAATAAAAGCAGTACTTAACTAGAAGTTGCCAGTCTCAAGATAACATGATTCAGTTCAGTTTGTGGAACTAAACAGTGCCATAAATTGGGTACTTACTATTTTAAAGCATGTACCAGATGCAAGAGTGCCAAAGCAAACAAGGTCTTAATTTGTACAAGCATACAAGTCTGGTACAAAAGACAGAAGCAAAAATAAACAACTTAATGTTGAAAATACTATGTTGAAGTTGTGCACTGCAGGGGGGAGCAAGAAAGTTAGATGAAGTATACTTAATGCATTTGGGAGGACATGGTAAGTTTTCAGAGGACTAATGCCTTAGTTGAACTTCTCAAGATGAGTATGAGTTTGTCAGGTAAAGGAGAAGGGAACTCTGCACAGATGGAAGAACATTAGCACAGGCAATGGATGTGAAACAGCATGGTTTGTTTTAAAAACTATTCTTAAGTATAAAGTTAGCACAGGGCGCCAGGAGATGAGGTTGGAGACGTTAGCAGAGACCAGATCACAAAAGTCTGGTATGTCTTAGAAAACAAACTTATGGTTACCAAAGGGGAAAGGGCAGGGGGATAAATTAGGAGGCTGGGATTAACACATACACACTACTGTATATAAAATAGATAACCAACAAGGACCTACTGTATAGCACAGGGAACTGTACTCAATATCTTGTAATAACCTATAAGGGAGAAGAACCTGAAAAAGAACATATATATATATGTTTGTATTTATATTTATATATATATATATTAAACTGAATGTGCTGTACACCTGAAACTAACATGACATTGTAAATCAACTATACTTCAATAAAATGAAAAAAAAGTCTGTTATGTTTTCATGTAGAGTTTTGACTTGATCTTGTATATAAAAAGATTTTAAACAGGTGAGTGAAGTGATTTGTTTTTTAGACTAGTTAAATGGCAACAAAGTAGAAGGGGGACTTTCGGGGATGGACTGGTGGCAAAGTGACTAGTAAAGAACTATTACACTAGTCTAGGACTTCCCTGGTGGTCCAGCAGTTAAGACTCCATGCTCCCAATGCAGGAGGCCTGGGCTCAATCCCTGGCCAGGGAACTAGATCCCGCATGTTGCAACTAAAAGATCCCATATGCTGCAAGTGAAGATCCAGCATGCCGCAACTGAAGATCCCACACGCGGCAACGAAGATTCCACGTACTGCAACTAAGACCCGGTGCAGTCAAATAAATAAATATTAAAAAAAACACAACCATTATACTAGTCTAGAAAAGAGATTATGAAGGTCTGAATTAATGCAGTCACTGTGAAGATGGAAAGCAGGGGATAGTTGAGCGATATTGCTCAACTCAAAAACTTGGATGACCTGATATTTAATATTTAGAGAACTAGATGGATGATGGTGCCACCAGTGAAACAGGAAGAGCAGGTTTCAGAAAAGAATTGTTTTATACAAATTGAGTTTGAGATGCTATGGGATATCCAGGATGTTGAGCAGTCAGCTGGATGATGGGTCAGGAATCATTAGCAAGTAGTTCAAAACAGGATATGATTATCCAGAGGAAGCATATAAATTGGGAAGGGAGCAGGGGTGAGAAAAGAAGCAACATGTAAATTTAGTCCAGTTACTGGTGGGTTAGGGAAGAGAGGGGAACTAGTCAGGGAAAATACATGAGCTGAAAAGCAATGCTGAGAATCCAATCAAGACTAGAAGCCATCTACTATAGTGGCACCAATCCACACTACTATACATAAACTTCAGCAGTGCTCAACTTTCCAGTGTAGTAACAGCAAAGACAAACTGATATTAAACTAGGTTTGGGGATTCTGCAGGACTGGGATAGAATGACAAAGGTGGATAGGAGTTCAGGACACCAGCGGGAGAATAGTTCCAGTGACTGATTATGAAGTCCAAACCTGGAAGTAAGGAAGAAAGACTGAAGGAAGGAGGCTGATAAGCTGGGAGAAAACTGAGGGAGTAGGTATAGGAGGAGGAATGGAGTAGGGTATAGTCAATGGAAAAGGGCAGATGAAATGGAGGTAAAATCATAGGAGTTGAAGTCAGAAACTGAGGCTTTGGTATTAGGTATGCTGGTAAGGTGTTAAGAAACTGGAATTGAAAGTTATGACACTTTGGTACTAGTTCTGACTCGAATGTCACTAGTTAGCTATGTTACCCAAGGTAATGTTAAGCTTTTTGAGTTGTTTTAAGGAGATTCCTTTTTTTCATCGAAAAATATTTACTAAGCACGTACTACGTGTCAAGCAGTATACTATTCTCCAGGATGGTTTCTACCCTCAAAAAGCTAATACTCCTTAATGGATGTTAATGTACCTTCATTTAATATTATTAAAATGTTGTAAAATTATTCTGGAAAATGCCCCTTAGGATAAAAAGTAGGCTCGTGAGGCTTGCTTTCAGAATTCCAAGACTATACCTTTCATAGAGAGATTCTGAAAAACAAAAGTGGACTAATAAAATCAATACAAAGCACAAAAATATGTCAACCAAGACCTTGATTGTGGTCTCATTACAATGTTTTATTTTCCTCATTTATAAGAATGAGGATAATACCACCTGTGTTGCTGACTTTGGCAGGCTATTTTGAGAACCAAATGAACTAACAGTTGTCAAAGCTCTATGATACACTATACTACATGCTATACTCTAAGGCACTACAGATGTACTTGTTATGTTCTTGTTTTGTTCTGTTTGGGTAAGTTAACACTCAATAATCCAGAATAGAGAGGTTTAGAGATCTGAAGATGGGCACTTCAGGAAACGTAGCATATCCTGAAATTCCTCAAGAATATATTTTAAAATTGAGCATTTTTCCATTAAAATTTAAAAAAATCTGTTAAGAATTTTCCTGTGTTAAACAGATTATGCTGTTAACTTACAGATCCTCTATAATCTTAATTGTGCTTAACAGTATGCATATACTCAACAAACACTGCCTTGCCTGTATTACAGCTCCTATCACATTGTACTATAAATGTTTACTTATATGTGAATTAGGCTGTGAATTCCTAGTAGATATATCCTCGTCATACTCATCTTTGGTATCCCTAGAGTATAGCACTGCTCTTAATACAAAGTAGGCTCTCAAAATACGCAGATGAAAAAGTAGATGAATGATTAAATGCCAGGTAATATGAAAAGTGTCTGGATTCTTAGGGGTCACAGTGGGCCAGAGAGACAGACTTCAAAACAATTAATTGCAGTACCAAACAACAAATACTACACTGGGACAAAGGCAGGAAAAATTAACTTTGTCCCAGGGTCATAATGGGATTAAAAGGTTTACAAAATAGCTGTCATTTTTGGCTAATCAATTAGTTAACATGAAATTCAATTCCTATTTTAGAATCCAATGTGTCAGAATAGTACTGTTTATGAACATCTCAAAGAGAATGTACAAAAATCCAACATTCTTTGTAAGTTAAAATTGGTAAAATCACACCCTTTGAAAAAAAGAAAGAGAAAAGACAATTTCTGGCCCACAGCTGAAGGATTAGAGAAAATGTAAGGGATTTAATGCTGTTAGGGTAAGAATAACAAATTTGGAAAGAGAAGGGTCACTAGTCTTGAAATTAGTCAAATGAAATAGGCATTTATGAAAGCCAAGTATCCATATATAAAGTCCTGATAGAAATACATTATTAATAGAATGTATCAATTAATTTAGTCAGTAAATATAATGTTGGGAGTACAGCAGTAAACAACACAGACTGCCCCCACCCCCAACAAAAATCCCTGCCCTATGAATCGTACATAGAATGTTCTCAGGGCAAATTACAGATTTCAGTGTTCTGCTGATGACATTTTTGTTTGTAATGTGTACACATTTTAAGATATAAAAATGAAATGTAAAAAATGGAAAATACATTTTCACAATATTTAACTACACAGAATTTTAAATAAAGCTCCAAGTGCCTTTCAGTGCTTGGACCAAATTCTAACAGGTTTATTAGTCCTTTTGAAGGTGCAATTTCAGGATACTGAGAAAACAATTGTACTAGATTACTGTTGCAGTTTCCTAACAACTACCATTTGGACAGTGGTTCAACATTTATAAAGTACTTTCACATATTGCATATCATCTCATTTAATCATCACAATACTTTTCTTAGGTAGATACTGCTCACTTTTTTCACCCCCAGAAAATAAAGCTGAGGCTCAATGAGTTAAAATAATATGACCAAGGCCACTCAGTAAATAGCAGGACCAAAACTCAAACTCACACTTTTGACCCCTAATTCTGTTATCTGTCTCCTTGTCTGATGTAAAAAAAAAAAAGCTTTTATGCACTCTATTGCATCTGATACTCATAATGTTTGATTGATTTCTTATGAAATTATTATTTATTAACATTTTAAGGTGAAAAAACAGAAGTTCAGAGAAGATAAGTAACGTGCCCAAAGTAAGTCAGCAGGTGGTATCAGAACATGTTTCCATGTCTAATGGTAACAAAGCCCATGTATATTGCCAATCAACTTTAAAGACTGAAATATGGAAATATTAATACATCAATCTACCTTACTGTAATTTAGGTTGGTCCATACTAAGGATGGCACAGAGTAATTTTTTATATTTCCTACTGCCTTCTGCTTTAGGTAACCACAAGCAATAAAATCCTGACTGGCAAGGTGGATTACTTGGGTCCTTTTACAACAGATACAATAAAAGAGATCGATGTTTGAAAGGATGGTTAACATTTAAATAGGAATACCATAACACTAGTTTGAAAAAAAGGGAAAATATACCAAGACAATTCTTGATCCAAAATAACAACAGTCAGTATTTAATATCTCTAAATCTTTTCACTATATATGAATCATACATAAAAGACGATGGCATCTAACTTAGTTTACATACATGACATGCCACCTGTACAATCAGTACTTTGTAACAGAAAGGAGACAAAGGAAACCTTTTAAATTAAGCTTTGTAAATACAAATGTAAAATAATGTGAAATGGTGAAATTTTGGGTAAAAGCACAAGAGAATCAAAATCACAAAAGACCAAAATTAAAAAACACAAACTATAAAGCATACTAAAATATGTACCTCACTGTGCCTTGTGAACAAATATTCCTTTTAATCAGAATTTACCATTAGATTTTCAAAGGTTAATTTCTGGGAATACAATTTTTGTTTTCCTTGTAATACATTGAAACTTGTTTATTATAGAGTAGAATTTGGTATAAGATGGGTTGTTTTGGATCTTGTCCAGGAGTTCAGTTACTGAAAGCACTTCATTATAAGATGGTTTCACCAATAAGGTGATCCACTGGCTCAGATCACATGGATATTACAACAAGGCCCCATTGTAGAGTACAGGAAGCCAGGCAGCTAATGGTCTATCAAATGAAACCTTAAGAAACAAAATGCTTTTTTTTTTGGTAGACATGAAAATTGTTTCAGGCTAGAGAATCATAAGCCTAGGTCATCTATTTAAATTTCCATTTCCTGAAGTGATGTCTTTATGCTTAATCGCTGCACAGATACTTTATATTAAAGTTTTGTCTTCCTTAGACATTCACTGTTTGATGTGGTATTACATTTATTTTTTATTATGAAAAAGTTCAGAAAAAATAAGTTCAGTTTTAATACTGCCTTTTTATTTACAAAAAATTGACTGCATTTGTCTATAAAAATAGACAAGGCTCTACCACAAATTCGTAACAGTTAAAGTAAAATCTTGTGCATCTTACTGATAAATCTGAGGCTAAAAAGATCATGAGCAAGAATAATTGTGTAGTAAGCAAATACCAAAATAATGCCATCAGAGATTAAATAACTAAATAACCAGTCTTTCAAGTGATTTTACAATAGGTGTTTTGACTTCATGGAGTTTTATAAGCAATTTCAAAGAATTAAGTATTTTGAATGTGTTTTACTACAGGAACATAGCATGAGAAGGTCATATTGCAGAAAAATAATATGGAAAAGCATGTGAACTTAGAAACAATACAAAATTAAAAACCACTTAATAATTAAATGCATAGTAGTAGCACAAAGAGTTATCATTAATTTCCAACACAATTATTAAAGGTTTTAAATGATTCATGTAAACTTTAAAAGTCAAGTCATGAAGCATCTACTCTTCACAATGTACCTTTCTTCCATGAACCAAGCCCCTTCTCCAGCTGGTAGTTTTCCTGATTCGTGGCCTGTATATTCTATGTATTTTCAGCCCTTAAATAAATTCAGTATTAGATGATTATTTCATATGCATAGAATGGGTAAGGCAAATTACTTGATGAACAATTTCTATCTTATATATCTCAGCCTTAAAAAATAAATGAGACAAGTAACTTACCCTTCCTACTATACAATGCTTCTTTATTGTCAGTTTATCTCCTATCTGTCTGTCTGTCTGTCTGTCTGTCTATCTATCTATCATCATTAGGGAAGTCTTTGTATAAAGCAAGAGTGTACTCCAGATACATGACTGATTTACCAAGTAATAATTGAGGGCTTGCCATGTGCCAGATACTCTTTTAAATGCTTTTACATGTTTTAACTTAAACTTTCTAAAACATCTCTTTAAAAAGTATTTTATCACTAATGAAAATGTTTTACCTCACACTCTTTATAAAGGCTAGACTTTACTTCTTGCAATACCAACCTGGTCAAGGCTGTGATCTGAGGAGACTATATACCTGATTCAACCATGATACCATTGTACAAAATTTTTGAAACACCTCTTGGAATTACTAAAAGCTTGTGCCACATCTCTGTGTACATTCTCAGTAATGGAAATTTTTAGCCTTGGAGAGAATTAGATTTTGGAAAGAATAAATTATATCTAGGGAAAGGAATGGTATTTGAGATCAAGCTGGATAATAACACTAAGATATGACTAAAAAATAATGTGTTTGATTTTTCTCAGGTAGTTTACCAAATCTTCTAAGGGCAATTTTAAGGATTCAAAAATATTTTAATTGCAGCACTGGTAAAATAAATACTTGCTTCCCAAGTTATTATGTACATATTCATACAATTATTCATGTTACCTTTTATACAAATGGTTTGCTTTATTTTAAGCATTTTGCAACCAAATGAAAATTTATTCAGAATAAAATATCAACATATATTCCTTTAAATTATGGATTTTTAAAGCTGAAAGGGATTTGCATGATTTTATAGTACTAAACTACACATTTCACAGATGAAACTAATTCCCCAAAAGGCATGGTGATTGCCAGCATGACTTAGCAAATTAGTGGCAGAGCCAAGAATAGAGCCCAAGTCTCTTGTCTTCCACCTGGTATTTTTTCTACTACCACACCACCCTTGATGTGTGGATTAAGAACTATTCCAAAGATGACAAATGATTTCACCCTTTCAAAACAATTTAAAAATTAATCCAGTGCTTGAAACTTTTTACTGATCACCTAAGAAAAAGATCTAATACTAGGTGGGACTGAATATATCCCAATCTGCAGATAAATTCTTTAACTGGTAAATTATCAATTTAAATTTCTTTGAACTATGCTTAGAGTTGTAACATCCAATGCTATAGAAACAATTAAGCTGTATTCAATATAAATGTCATCAAAATGAAAGTAAACATATGCATATATAATAAATCATTGTTCCAAATGAATATAAAAGATACCTGACTGCTGAGAATTTTGACTTGAAAATAATAAACCGCATCAACAACTTGAACAGCTCATAAAATTTCAATTCAAATCACTCCAAGAAGGCTAAATGTCTATTGAGTAACAGATGTTTCTTGGAAAAGATTGGTGAATGTATTTTTGGAATGATGTCAGAGAAGAGCTACTTTTATAACCATTTTTGATCAGAAGTGTAGCTTCATTCACAAAAACAAAGAGTCAAAATTTACAGAAAAGCTTACTGAGCTATAAGGGAACATTTTTCAGCTACAGTTACACGTTTAGCTTTACTTATTAAATTTATATTTGAAGTTTTCTATCTTAGTTGCATAACTGAAGCCTTTATGCTAGAACATGTCACTTTTTTCCGCAATGGTGATGAAGCTAAATAATTAGAATTGAAAATTTGGAGTCCTTCATTTGGCATTTTATAATTTTACATAAATTTGTTTAAAACATGCTTGGTTTTGATTTAACAAACAAAAATGTAAAACAATTTCAATTAAAAATACATGTAGTTTTCTTCCTTAATTCTTAATTACTTATAAGTAGGCAGTTTAATACAGGAATATACTTTTCAAGAAAACTGATTTCTAAAAAAAAAAACCTCAGACTGATCTGAGGTAAAATCTACAGTGAAACATGACTGAGGGGTGACTGGATTAGATTGCTATTAATTTTTACGCAGCAGTATGAAAACAAATGGATGAAGAGGACTACAAAATACAAATATTTATGTGAATTTTTTTTTTTTTTTTTATTTATGTGAAATTTAAAGTGCCTTAGGAAACTACATATCTTCCAGATTGATTAATTTAATATTGCATTTAGCTAAGGAAGACTTGGAGGAAAATATTTTTTATGAATCAATTTATCAAAACTTGAGAATAGTAAAACTTATATTTCTGAACATAATATAGACTTTGGATTAAAGTGAATTATATATCTCAAATTTTTAAAAAAAGCTATGTCACTTATCCAATGTACAAATTATCATTTACAATAGAGTTTAATATAAGCATGACGACATGTTTTTATACCTTGACAGTTAAGTATTATTACCTAACACCAGGGAACACATCTTTATTTTTGGGAGGAGACTGTTTAAAGTTCTTTATATCCGTTTCATGAGTTTTTTCCCAGTTCCAATTCATTTATATGAGTCGTTTTTACATTACTACCAATGTCATCAACTTTACTTTCTTTAATATGCGTGAGTCTATTCAACTTTGTGCCTGTGCAATCCTCAGCTTTCATTTCTCTGACTGAATCCATTCCTTTCATAGTTTTAATTTCAAAAAGATCTTCAGCTAAAATGCAATTTGAATTATTAGCCAATCTGTTGTCTCTATCAGTTCCAACTAGTTCATTCTTTTCTTCATTTGTATCTATGGGATCATAAAGTTCGGGTGTAAAATAGATAGATTCATCCTCTGCTTCTGTTTCAAAAGCTGTATTTGAAGTAGAAAGTTCAGCTTCTTCACTTACTAGAGATAACAGAATGTCTGGATCTTCTGGATTCAGGAGAGTAGCATTAATCTTTATTGATGGAACAATGGTTTCCGATTGAGGGCATGGTCCAAGTGATGTGTTTACTGTCAGAGAGGAGGACTCATATTTATCAGTGAGTGGCAAAGCTGCTTCACGTCCCTTTTCTGTTTTGAAAGTGGAAGAATTAGAGGCACAGTCCTCTGATGACCTAAACTTAGGTGTTCCAGTCAGAATTTTACCAGTATGATACTGTTCCAGAAAATTACTGCCAGACCAGCTAACTCTGTTTGTTTGTTTGTTGAAGGTTGGGCTTGTGGATCTGGAAATCACAATTTTTTCTGCTCCTACTGCCTGGGCAGACTCTTCCAATAATAATGGATCATCTACAAATACAAAGATATGAGTGTTAACTTTCTGTTCCTAATGTAATATTTGTTATATTAAAACAATTTTTGTTAGAAATACTGAAATAACTGTATAGGATACATAATTGAGAGCCCATAACAAGTAGTAGCAGGACTTCCATCTTAGAATGGAAGCATTCTAAGCAATCCATCTTCAAGCACAACATGTTAACTCTGAAAGGAATCTTAGGTCTCCAGTGGTTCCCAGCCCAAGTTATAATGCTGTCTGGTAAACTATCAAATTCCACACCAGGGACCTCAGAAGTGAACAATAAAAGAAATGGTAAAAAGGAAGAGGAAGAGGGATGAGTAAAGGAGGGAACAGGCTGTAAAAATGCCTTAAAAATCCACTCACCAGTGATTGAGAAAAACTGACCTAGACTAATTCCCTTAAGGAAACTGACAACCACCAAGACTAAGTTATTTGCTTAAAGTTATAGAATTGGTTGGTAATCAGACCTGGACTAGAACCTAGCTTTCCTGATTATCAGTATAATGGCCTAGAATTCACTATGACATTTAGCTAGGATAGAAGCATATACTATAAAATAGTTAAAAAGTAATATATTAAACTACTATTATATATTAATTAAAACAATTAAAATGATATCCAATGATACAGAACAGTTTGGCAAACTTTTTCTATAATAGGCCAGACAGTAAATATTTTAGGCTTTGTGGATCACATTGTATCTGTTGCAACTACTCAATTATGCTGTTCTAGTGCAATACATACAACTACTCAACTCTATTGTTGTGTACAATATATAAATGATTGGGTGTGGCTGTATTCCATTAAACTTTACTTACAAAAACAGCAGGCCAAATTTGGTCCGCAGGCCACAGTTTGCTAATCCCTGATGTATTATATTCTAATATATTTTAAACTATATTTTAATTTTCTAAATTATATTTTAATCCAGTATATTCTGATATTTTAAAATATTATTTTTTTATCATTTAGAATAAATGACTCTCACTTCTCTAAAATAAGAAATTCATGTAAGACAATTATCTATAAATTAGGTCAATTTTTAATATCACCTTTAGAAAAACATTACCATTTGCATAGTGCTTTACAATGTTGTGATATTTATCATCTTATTAGATCTTTACAACCCAACCTGGAGGGATAGGTAGGCAGATATCCCTTCTATTAAGACTCAAAAAGTTAAGTGACTTGCTCGGGAGTGGGGGTCACAAAGTTAGTTAGTGGCAAAGCTTCTAAGTGGAAAACCAGAAAATATGTGTAGATCTCCTCAAAAATTTGTTCCCATTCTGATACAAATTATTTTATGATAACACCTTATAATAACCAACATATTTAAGGACATTAATCTGTAGCATAACAAATATCATTTCACTAAACACAATGAAAGACTTCTCTACCAAATGTAAATGGTTAGAACTTTTCATATTTTTCTCCTTTCTGGAGATGATGTCTCTTGGTAAAGATGGACTTTTATCTATCATTTTAGGACACTGTAGCTCTTAGACACATTTTTACTTTACCTTCCCTAGGATATTCTGGTGATAGATGGCTTGCTGCTTCTAATAAATAAGTTGAGGTATTATCCTTCAAACAAGCCACTGCAAGCGGAGACTCATTGTCCTGTATAGATTTTCTGTCTTCTTTGTATACATCAATGACCTTTCGGTGCTTTTTGGAAAATTCAGCCAAGGACTCCAGCGCACTCTCAAAGGTTGAATGGTGCTGAATCAGCTGCCGAACCCACTTAGAAAGTCCTAAGGCAAAAAGTAAACCCAGCAAAGAAACTTTGGTTATTCAGTGAAGATATTATGTATTAAGAAAAAAAAAATTAGATAACTTCTCTGGTGAGGTAATCTACTTTGAATTTAGAGGATACAGGGTGGTTCTCTACATTTTTCCTGCCTTTTTACCTTCATGTGTACAATATGCTCTTGTATCAGTAGCATTTCTCTTTACATGCAGTGATTGCCAACTGGATGGAGGGAAGAGGCAGTGGGAGTAGAATGGAGATGGGAAAATATTATTTGTCAATTAAGAATAACTGGGGAATAAGGCAAATTTAATTTTATCATAATTCCCCACAAAAAATTACCTACCTTTTAATTGCAGAGAAAATACAAGTTCTAAACAACACAATCTTTTATTCCAACTTTTAAATTTGACTCCTTTAGCAAAAATAAATTCAAGATTACAGTCTCATAGGTTTTTTTTTTTTGTTTGTTTCCCTTCTCCTTCCAATTCCAAATATATCAAACTATTCTGGGAGTAAAAGGAATAACACTGTTTTATGGGCAAATCATGTCCTATCTGAATATTTATTACATAATTATTTTTTAATATATAAATAATCAAGTTGTAAGGGACAAGATTTGACCCTGTGACATGTGAAAACTGCATAAAAATAAACCATATTAACAGTATAAGGTGTTTTGGAGTATGACTCACTTCAGAATGAAATTCAGATATTTGGACTTTAGAAAATAAATATTCTCTGCTGATGTTACTAAAACATCATCTTTTGGAGAAATTTTAAAAGTCACTATGGTATTTTAAGTTGAGAGGAAGGTAAGACAGGGCTTCAAGCAATTTGAACTATTATTCTTTCATTTCAAATACATTCCTTTAGTTTTTTTGTTTAATGGAGCTTTTCTATCAACTATTCTTTTGCGTGTTGAATTTAAACAAAAATTAGTCATCAAATGGAATTTGTATGTTGTTGTGCTGTATTGCCTAGATAAGATTTCAAAGCTTATGAGTCTCAGAAAAAATAAAAACCTTACAGAAAATAATGGAAAATACTTAATTCAAAAAAATCTCTCAACAAATCTGAACTACAAGGTAAAAATTTCAGTTCTAGATTTTAAAATAAGAAAAAAAAACTTAAACAGCATTTTTTTAAAGTTCTTTATTTTTGTTTGCTTGGGGAAAATAATTATACCAAATAAGAATATGAAAATTTCCCAAATTGAAAAATTTTAGCGTTATAGTTATTGCTTTCATTTCGAACTTTTTGTGATCAAAGAAAGCCTTTTCAGTGTAAAATGTCAGTTTGCTTTTGAAAACTTGAAAGAATCTGAGCTCCACCTGCTGACTAAACATAAGCACTTAACATTTGTTTTTGGTTATATCTTGGCCTTGGCTTGCTTTACAGGGGAAGAGAAGAAAAGACTAATAAGGCAGCATTTCCTGCTTCAATCCAGGTGGATATGTTTTAATATTGAACCAAATATAATAATTAGGCTCTGAAATATAAAAAGTAGAGTCCATACCCATAGACAGCTAATCTGAAACAAATTAAAAAATTAGCATCTTTTCATTATAGTATGGTATGAACTTTTTAGCTCTAAAGATAACAATAAAAACGCAAGTACTTCCAACAGTTCTTTAATAACAGATGGATTCCTGGTATTAATTCGGATGAAAACTACAGGCACACAGTATTTGTTCATTTGAGTGGAGAAAAATGACCATGTACTTGATCTTGCAGCATGCAGTGGTGCTTTTTTTTCTTTTTAGAAAATACTAGCTCTAATATAAACTCTATAACAACTGAAGCATTTCTAAACAAACACACACACATACAACAATAAAACTCAAATAATCCAGAATGAAAGAATAAAAAGAATCCTAAGCACCAAAGGATTGCTTGTGTGCTTAAATGTAAAAACTTAATATTTCTTGGAAAACTCATTTCTGTGGAACAGCTTTTTCCCTGACAATGGTAAATAAATTATTGCTATGTTACTGAATCAAATCCCACATTCTGGTGAAATTGAAGGATCTTGATTGATTAATACTACATCAGTAACCAGATTCTCCTCTATAAAGATTTTTTGTAAACACAGAAGCATTAAAAGGCTAGATTTCCAGTCAATGTGAATTTTTCCATGTTCGATCTAGTAATTCAAATTCTCTATCCAATTCTTTGCTTTAAAAATAGAAGTCATTAAATACCAAAGATTGTTACTAATTCGTACTCTAAGCCCAGCAGAGAATCTTACCAGATATGTATCGACTTGGGTTACTCCTGAAGCGATCATCCACTAGAATAAGAGCTCCCCAGTCATTTTTGTGTCGAATACACCTATAAAAAATAGGGAGAAAATGAAATAAACATAACAGTGAAAATAAAGCCACATTTCTAGTGGGACAGACAGAAGGTTGAGAAAATCAATGATGTGTCTGTCAGGTATCAAAATCAATGACATGTCCTTTAATCAAAGTCATTATTATGAGTAAAGTTTTCAGAAACTACTCAGTACAATGTACCAAAGTAGGTGTATTAAAAACTCTCCTACTTTTGCCAACTACTGATAACATGCCCAAAAATGTTACATGCATTCTATTTTGAAAGACAAGAAAATTATAGAAAATATTTCCCAAAACATTCTTTACACACACAATATTTTTTACCTTAAGTATTATATTAGCTGTAGATTTTATGTACATAACTTTTATTCTGGTTTAACAAGTTTTTATCATAAATGAATAAGTTTGTAAAAAAATTTTTGCACCAATTGATATAATCATGTAGTTGTTCTTTTTAGACTGTTAATATGGTGGATTATACTGGCAAAATTTCAAATACTGAGCTCGCCTTTCTTTCATCCCTAGAATAACCACTATGGTCATGTGCATTATTCTTTTTATAGATTGTTGGGTTCAATTTGCTAATTTTTAAAATTTTAAACATTATTAAAATTTTTTAAATTTAGTGGTTTTTCAGTTTGCAGGGCAGAAATTGAGACACAGATGTAGAGAATAAACGTATGGACACCAAGGGGGGAAAGCAGCGGGGGGTGGTGGTGGTGGTGGTGGTGTGATGAATTGGGCGATTGGGATTGACATGTATACACTGATGTGTATAAAATTGATGGCTAACAAGGACCTGCTGTATAAAAAAAAATTAAAAATAAAATTCAGTGGTTACATTTACAAGGTTCTGCAACCTATACCACTGTCTATTACAGAACATTTTTACCTCACCAAAAAGAAACCCCATGCCTATTAGTCACTCCCAATTACCCAGATCATTCCCCCTAACCCCTTGCAACCACAATCTACTTTCTGTCTGTATAGATATACCTATTTTGGACACTTCATATAACTAGAATCATTTATGTCATTTTGTGTCTGGCTTCTTTCACTTAGCATGATGTTTTCAAGGTTACTTGTATCGTGCATCAGTACTTTGTTCCTTCTTATGGCTGAATAATATTCCATTATATGGATATACCATAATTTATCCATTCATAAGTTAATGGGCATTTGGGTTGTTTCCACCTTTTGACTATTATGAATAATGCTACTATAAACATTTGTGTACAAGTTTTTATATGGATACATTTAAAAAATTCTTTTGGGTATATACTTAGGAATAGAATTGCTATGTTGTATAACTCTACGTTTATAACTTTTAGAGGAACTGCTACATTTTTTTTTTTCCAAAGCAGTCACATAATTTTACATTTCCATTAGCTATGTATGAGATTTCCAATTTCTCCATAGCTTCACCAACACTTGTTACTGTCCATCTTTTTCAATAGATGTACCAGGAGGTATGAAGTGGTATTTCACTCTGGTTTTGATTTGCATTTCCCTAACGACTAATGATGTTCTGCATCTTTTCATGTGCACAATGGCCACGTGTGTATCCTTTTTGGAGAAATGTCTATTTAAATTATTGGTCCAAATTAAAATTGCATTATTTATATTTTTATTGTTGAACTGTAAGAGTTCTTTATATATTCTGGATATAAGACCCTTATCAGATACATGATTTGCAAATATTTTAGAAACTGTTGCCTAATCCAAGGTCAAGAAAATTTGTACCTTGTTAGTCTTTGATCCATTTTGAGTTAACTTTTGTATATGGTGTGAGGTAGGGGTCTAACTTCATTCCTTTCCAGGTGGATATCCAATTATCCAAGAATTATCTGTGAAAAAGACTATTCTTTCCTCATTAAATTGTCTTGACACTTTTGTCAAAAATCCATTCACTGTAAATGCATGGGTTTGTTTCTGGACCCTCAATTTTACCCCTTGTTCTACATGTCTGTATTACATCAATACAATACAGTCTTGATTACTGTAGTTTTGCAGTAAGTTTGAAATTGAGAATTGTCAGTTCTCCAGTTTTGTTCTTCTTTTTCAAATTTTTTGTGGCTATTCTGGGTCTCTTTCAATTTCCATATGGATTTTAGGATCAGCTTCTCAATTTCTGCACCCAATCCAGTTGGAATTCTGGTTGGGATTATATTAAATCTGTAGATCAATTTGGGGGAGAATGTTATCTTAATAATAATGTTTTCCAATCTGTCATCATGGAATTCTCCCATTTATTTAGAAATTTCTTTCAACAATATTTTGAAGCTTTCAGGGTACTTTCATTAAAGTTATTTCTAAGTATCTTGCTCTTTTTGATGCTACTGTAAATGGAATTAACTTGATTTCATTTTTGGATTGTTCATTGCTGGTGTATAAAAATGTAACTGATATTTGTATAGTGAATACGCATCCTATAACTTTGCTGAACTTGTTTTAGTTCTAAATAGTTATTGTTTATGGATTCCTTAGGATTTCTATGTAGAATATCATGTCATTTGCAAATTTAAAGATAATTTTACTTCTTTTCCAATCTGGATATCTTTTATTTCTTTTTCTTGCCTAATTGCCCTGGCTAGAACCTCCAACACAATAATGAATACAAGTGGTGAGAGCGGCCATCCTTATTTTATTCTCAAACTTAAGAGAAAAATGATAACTTTCACCATTCAGTATGATGTTAACTATTGTATGCATACATGCCCTTTAAGGTTTAGGAAGTACCTGCTATTCCTACTTTGTTGAGTGTTATATTGTCAATTGCTTTTTCTCATCTTGAGATGATCTTGTGGTTTTTGTACTTTACTCTAATATGGTGTTACACTGATTTTAGCTGAACCAATAAACTGGCAGGGTGTTGAACCACCTTGCAGTCCTGAGATAAATTCCACTTGGTCACTGCGTACAATCCTTTTAGTAAGTTGCTGGATTCAGTTTTCTACTTTTCTGTTGAGGATTTTTGCATCTATAACCATAAGAGATACTGCTCTGTAGCTTTCTTGTGATGTCTTTGATTACTTTTGGTATCAGGCAACACTGGCCTCATGGAATAAACTGGTACATGTTTCCTGTTCTATTTTTCATAAGCATTTGTAAAGGATTCTCTTTAAATGTTTGCTAGAATTCATCAGTGGAGTCATTCTTTCCTGGGCTTTTCTTTGTGTGAAATTTTCATATTACTAATTCTTCCACCTCTTCACTTGTTATAGATCTATTCAGACATTCTACTGCTTGAGTGTCAGTTTCCATAGCTGTGTCTATGAATTTGTCCATCTTTTTTTAAAAAAAATAAATTTATTATCTTTTTATTTTTGGCTGTGTTGGGTCTTCATTGCTGCACATGGGCTTTCTCTAATTGCGGCAAGCATAAGCTGGTGGCTTCTCTTGTTGCTGAGCATGGGCTCTCGGCACACAGGCTTCATTAGTTGTGGCATGTGGGCTCAGTAGTTGTGAATTGCGGGCTCTAGAGCACAGGCTCAGTAGTTGTGGCACACAGGCTTAGTTGCTCCACAGCATGTGGGATCTCCCCAGGCCAGGGCTCTAACGTGTGTCCCCTGCATTGGCAGGAGGATTCTTAACAACTGTGCCACCAGGGAAGTCCTCAATTTGTCCAACTTATCTAAATTATCTATTTTGTTGTCATATAATTGTTCAAGTATTCTCTTATAATGCTTTATATTTCTGTAAGTTTGGCAGTAACAACCCCTCTTTCATTCCTAATTTTAGTAATTTGAGTCCTTTCTGCATTTTTTTCTTGGTCAGTCTAGTTAAATGTCAATTTTCTTGATCTTTTCAAAGAGCCAACTTTTGTTACCCTGACTTTTTCTACTTTATTTTCTATTTCCTTTATTTCCATTCTAATCTCTACTATTCCTTTGATTTGCTTGTCTTGGGTTTGATTTGCCCTTCTTTCCTTAATTCCTTAAGGTAGAAGGTTAGAGTACTGATTTCAGATATTCTTTTTTTTTTAAATATAGACATTTATAAAAATAAATTTCTCTCTGAGCACTGCTTTCACTCTACCCTCAAAATTTTGGTACACTGTGTTATCATATTCATTTATCACAAGGTATTTTCTAATCTCCCTTTTGATTTCTTCTTTGATCCACTGGTTAGGAGTATGTTCTTTAATTTCCACGTATTTTTAAGTTTTTAAATTTTCTGTCTGTTACTGATTTATACTATCATTCCACTGTGATCAGAAAAGATACTTTCTATGATTTTAACCATTTAAAATGTATTGAAATTTATTTTGTAGCCTAACATATGGTCTATCCTGAAGTATGTGTCATGTACACTTAAGAAGAATGTGCATTCTGTTATTGTAGGGTAGAGTTTAATAAATATGTTAGGTTTGTAACTGTTGGTTTATAGTGCTGTTCAAGACTTTCCTTTTCTGTTGATTTTCTTTCTAACTGTTCTATCCATTATTGAAAGTGGGGTATTAAAGTCTCCAACTATAACTGTTGAATTTATGGAGTGAAAATTTTATTAGAAAATTTCTAGTAACAAAAAGGTTATTTTGTCTGGTATTAGTATAACCAAATCAGTTGTCTTTTGTTTACTGCTTGCATGTCTTTTTCTGTTTACACTTGAGATCTAGTTGTGTTTTTTAACCAAAGCATTTATCTTTCAGGCAGCATAAAGTTGGATCATGTTCTTTTTAAAAAAATTCATTTTGCCAATCTTTTTCTTTTGATTGGAGTGCTTGGTCCATTTACACTTAATGTAATTACTGATAAGGTAGAATTTACTTAGCTATTTTGCAAATATCCACTTTACTATTTGTTTTCTATGTCTTTTTTGTTATTGTTCTTCCACTATTCCTTCATTACTGCCTTCTTCTGTGTGCAATAGATATTTGAGTTATTTTATTAATGGTTGCTTTGAGGATTATAATAAACACCTTAATTTATAAAAATCTATTTTGGATTGATAGCAACTTAATTTCAGTAGTATACAAAAACACTGCTCCTGTAT